ATTTACGTACTCAAAAAATCCACCATTTAAAGTGAACAATTCAGTGACTTTTAGTATATGCAGAGTTGTGTACCCACTAATCTAATTCCAGAAGATTTTCATCCCTTCCCTGCAAAAAACCATACCCATTAGATACTGCTACTCCCCTTTTCCCCTTCCCCCAGCCTTTTGTAACCACTAACCTATTTTCTGTCTTTAGAGATTTACCTATTCTAAACATTTCATATAAATGGAATTAAAAAGGATGTCGTCTTTTGTGACTGTTTTCTTTCACTTAGCAAAATGTTTTCAAGGTTCATGTATTTTGTAGCCTGTATCAAAATGTCATTCCTTTTTATTGCCAAATAGTATTCTATTGTATGAATATATGACATTTTGTTTGGCTATGTCATATTTTGTTTATTCATTCATCACGTAGAGGACATGTTTCCACTTTTTACCTATTATGAATAATGCTGCTATGAATATTCATGTACAAGTTTTTGTGTGGACATACATTTTCAATTAGCTTTAGCATAAACTGAAGAGTCAAATTACTAGGTCAGATGGTAACTCTACGTTTAACATTTTGAGGAACTGCCAAACTGTTTTCCAAAGTGACTGCACCTTTTTATAACCCACTAGCAATGTGTAAGGTTCTAATTTCTCCACATTCTTGCCAACACTTGTTATAGCCTGTCCTTTTTTATTTCAGACATCCTAGTGGGTCTGAGAGCATATGTTGTATGATTTTTATCCTTTGAAATTTGTTAAAGTGTGTTTTATGGCCTACAATGTGGTCTCTCCTGGTGAACTTTCTGTGTAAGCTTTAGAAGAATGTGAATTCTGATACTGTTGGATGAAGCAGTCTATAGACGTCCATTATATGCAGCCTAACTGGGGTGCTGTTGAGTTCATCTCTGTCCTTACTGATTTTCTGCTTGCTGGACCTGTTCATTTCTGAGAGAGATATTGACTATCAACTAAATAGTGGGTTTACCTATTCCTCCTTGTACTTTTATCCATTTTTCTCTCAAATTCTGACTTTCTGCTGTTAGGCACATACACATTAAGGATTGTTATGTCTTCTTGGAGAAATGACCATTTGATCATTATGAAATGCCCCTCTTTATCGCTAATAACTGTCCTTACTTTGAAGTCTGCTCTGTCTGAAGTTAATAGAGCGACTCTAGCTTTCTTTTGATTAGTGTTAGCATGGTATATCTTTCTCTATCCCTTTACTTTTAATCTATGTGTCTTTATGTTTAAAGTAGATTTCTTGCACACACCATATAATTGTGTCTTGTTTTATCATCCACTCTGACAATGTCTTTCAACTGATATTTTAGAACATTGACATTTAAGGTGATTATTGATATAACTGGGCTAATATCTACCACATTTGTTACTGTTTTCTATTTTTTGCCCTTGTTATTTTTTCTATTTTTGTTTTCTACTTTTTCTGCCTCTGTGGTTTTAACTGAGCATTTTCTATTATTCCATTTTCTCTCCTTTCTTACTGTATCAATTACATTTCCCTTTCAAGATTTTTTTTTTAGTGGTTGTCCTGGAGTTGTAATATACATTTACAACTAATCCAAATTCACTTTCAGATAAGACAATACTGTTTCATGGGTAGTCCAAGAACCTTATAAAAACAAAGTATTCTTAATTCTTCCCTCTTGTCCCTTGTATCATTGCTGTCATTCATTTCACTTTTACATAAGTTAAAACCATTGAATACACTGTTGTTATTATTATTTTAAACTAGCTGTTATGTATTAGATAAATTAAGAAAAAGGAAAACAAACATTTTAATTTTACCTTCACTTATTTCATCTCGATTGCTATTTCTTTCTTTGACCAGATATAAGTTACTGATATGTCAGTTTTCTCTTCTCTCAAGAACTTCTTTTAACATTTTTTGCAAGGCAGGAAATGTCCTTACTGGCTACAAATGCCCCCAATTTTTGTTTGTCCAAGAAAGTTTTTATTTCTCTTTCATGTTTGAAGGATAATTTCACAGGATACAGAATTCTAGCTTGGTGGGTTTTTTTCTCTCAACACTTTAAATATTTCACTCCACTCTCTTCCTACTTGTGTGATATCTGAGAAGTCAATATAATTCTCATTTTGCAACTCTATAGGGAAAATGTCTTTTTCCTTTGACTTCTTTCAAGATTTTTCCTTTATCTTTGATTTTATACCATTTGAATATGATATGTGTAGGTGTAGTTCTTTTGTTTGTGCTTTTGTTTTGCATTTATATTGCTTGGTGTTCTATGAGCTTCCTGGATCTGTGGTTTGGTGTCTGACATTAATTGGGAAATTTTCAGTCATTATTGCCGCAAATATTTCTTCTGTTCCTTTCTCTCTTTCTCCCTTCCTCTCTCCCTTTTTCCCTTTCTTTTTTCCTTCCTTTCTCCCTTCTTTCCTTCCCTCTCTTTCTTTCCTTCCTTCTTTATCTCTCTCTTTCCCTTCCTCCCTCTCTTCCTTCCTTCCTTCCTTTCTTTTTCTTTCTTTCTTTCTTCCTTCTTTTCTTTCTTTTTTTCTTTCTCTTTCTTTCTTTTTCTTTGTGTATTCCCACTACAACTATATTACACATTTTATATATAACCCACAGTTCTTAGATACTCTGTTCCATTTCTTTCAATCTTTTTTTCTCTTTGCTTTTCAATTTTGTAAGTTTTTATTGACATATATTCAAGTTTAGAGATTCTTTCCTTAGCTGTGTCCATCAAACAAGCATTTCTTTTTTATTATTCCTTAGAATTTCCATCTCTCTGCTTACATCACCCATCTGTTCTTGCATGCTGTCTACTTTTACCATTAGAGCTCTTAGCATATTAACCAGAGTTGTTTTAAATTCACGGTCTGTTAATTCCAAAATTACTGCCACATCTAAGTCTCGTTCTGATGCTGGCTCTGTCTCTTCAAAGTGTATTTTTGGCCTTCAGTATGTCTTATAATTTTTTTTTGTTGTTGTTGTTGAAAGCCTGACATAATGCACTGAGTGTAATGAATTGAGTAAATAGGTCTTTGGTAATATTGTGGGGAGGTATGGGGGAGGGGTAGCATTCTATAGTCCCATGATTAGGTCTTAAACATTTAGTGAGCTTGTGCTCCTCAGCTGTGAACTTTACAAGTACTGCCTGGTTTTATTTATTTATTTTTTTACATCTTTATTGGACTATAATTGCTTTACAATGGTGTGTTAGTTTCTGCTTTATAACAAAGTGAATCAGTTACAGATATACATATGTTCCCATATCTCTTCCCTCTTATGTCTCCCTCCCTCCCACCCTCCCTATCCCACCCCTCTAGGTGGTCACAAAGCACTGAGCTGATATCTCTGTGCTATGCGGCTGCTTCCCACTAGCTATCTATTTTACGTTTGGTAGTGTATGTATGTCCATGCCACTCTCTTGCTTTGTCACAGCTTACCCTTCCCCCTCCCCATATCCTCAAGTCCATTCTCTAGTAGGTCGGTGTCTTTATTCCTGTCTTACCCCTAGGTTCTTCATGACATTTTTTTTCCCTTAAATTCCATATATATATTAGCATACGGTATTTGTTTTTCTCTTTCTGACTTACTTTACTCTGTATGACAGACTCTAGGTCCATCCACTTCATTACAAATAGCTCAATTTCATTTCTTTTTATGGCTGAGTAATATTCCATTGTATATATGTGCCACGTCTTTTTTATCCATTCATCCGATGATGGACACTCAGGTTGTTTCCATCTCCGGGCTCTTGTAAATAGAGCTGCAATGAACATTTTGGTACATGACTGTTTTTGAATTATGGTTTTCTCAGGGTATATGCCCAGTAGTGGGATTGCTGGGTCATTTGTATGGAAACACAAAAGACCCCGAATAGCCAAAGCAATCTTGAGAATGAAAAACGGAGCTGGAGGAATCAGGCTCCCTGACTTCAGACTATACTACAAAGCTACAGTAATCAAGACAGTATGGTACTGGCACAAAAACAGAAATATAGATCAATGGAACAGGATAGAAAGCCCAGAGATAAACCCACACACATATGGTCACCTTATCTTTGATAAAGGAGGCAGGAATGTACAGTGGAGAAAGGACAACCTCTTCAATAAGTGATGCTGGGAAAACTGGACAGGTACATGTAGAAGTATGAGATTAGATCACTCCCTAACACCATACACAAAAATAAGTTCAAAATGGATTAAATACCTAAATCTAAGGCCAGAAACTATCAAACTCTTAGAGGAAAACATAGGCAGAACACTCTATGACATAAATCACAGCACGATCCTTTTTGACCCACCTCCTAGAGAAATGGAAATAAAAACAAAAATAAACAAATGGGACCTAATGAAACTTCAAAGCTTTTGCACATCAAAGGAAACCATAAACAAGACCAAAAGACAACCCTCAGATAGGGAGAAAATATTTGCAGATGAAGCAACTGACAAAGGATTAATCTCCAAAATTTATAAGCAGCTCATGCAGCTCAATACCAAAAAAACAACCCAATCCAAAAATGGGCAGAAGACCTAAATAGACATTTCTCCAAAGAAGATATACAGAATGCCAACAAACACATGAAAGAATGCTCAACATCATTAATCATTAGAGAAATGCAAATCAAAACTACAATGAGATATCATCTCACACCAGTCAGAATGGCCATCATCAAAAAATCTAGAAACAATAAATGCTGGAGAGGGTGTGGAGAAAAGGGAACACTCTTGCACTGCTGTTGGGAATGTGAATTGGTACAGCCACTATGGAGAACAGTATGGAAGTTCCTTAAAAAACTACAAATAGAACTGCCTGGTTTTATTGCCCCCTTTAGGTGGGACAGGATAGCTAGAGGGGCCGAGAGTTGGGTATTTTCCTTCCATCAGGTTAGTTAGGCTCTGATAAAGACCTGGTAGGCTATGCCATGGGCAAATAGCTTCTCTTGAGGTCAGGCCTAATTAAGAAAAACAGAATGTTCTGACATATTTCAAAATGTCTACTCTCTCCCTCCGTCCTACAGGTCTTCACTGTGAGAACCTAGTAGAGCTACTCGACGTAAAACTCACAAAAATGTGCCTCCCTCTCTGCCAAGACTGGACCCCCTTAGAGTTTTTAGCTCTCAGAGTTGGCCGCATTGAATCTCCAGAAATTCATCCATTCCAGTTCAGGTTTTCCTGTCCCAGCACTGGTTCCCATGGAGGTACTGCTTATGGAGTTTTCTGACCATCAATTTCGTACATTATGTCTCTCTGTATCCACCTGTCTGCGTTTACAAGTTTGGCAGCAGTGTTTTCCCCTGCAGTCTCAGTTCTCTGATGGATCTAAGAAGAATTGATGACTTTCAGTTTGTTCAGCTTTATACTAGCTGTTAGAAAGGAGTGACAACTTCCAACCTCCTTAGATGCCAAACCAGAAACCAAAAGTCACCAGGGAAAATTTCAGCCTCTGACACCGACAGCTACAGCTACAGTGAAAAAACCTAATTCATAGTCAGGTTAACATAAAGCCACATGCTAAAGGCCCAGTTACCTCAATTCCTTTCACCCAATATGTCATGTCTTTCAATAAAAAAGGCATACTAAATGATATAATGTGAAATCTTTGGAGATCAGATTTTCTCTCCACTTTTACAGTTTTGTTTTTGTTGTTTGCTGTCATTGTCTGTGAATGGAAATAATCAATTAGCAATCTATAATAGGAATAGAAAGAGTTTTATTCAAGCCAAATTGAGGACTATGTCCCAGAAGACAGATTCAAGAAGCACTTGAAATGTGTTCCACCAAACTACAAAGTGGGGGAGGCTTATATAGGCAAAACCCACAAAGTTACGCAAGTTGTTTGTCAAGAATTAGGATTGGAGCTGGCAAGAGGTAGGGATGCTTCTTAGGCAAGGATTGGTTGAGGTCTGAAATGGTTGCATAGTTACAAGAGGAGACCTTGACACCATAAAGTTGCAGCTGGCAGCTACTAGCACATAGTATCTTGAGAACAGCTGGTGGTGTCCTTGAGTTTGATACAGTTCCAAGAATTCAAATTGTCAAGAGGAACGTGTCTGAAGCCACATCCACAATGGCCACCTAGCTCCAACTGGATGCCTGAACCACAGTTACTCCATTTTGATTTTTAAATGCTTTAATGGTTAAAGCAGATGTACAAAGCATGTTCGACAGGCCATAAGACAGGCTGTTCTAGTTAGCATAAAGTTCAAGACAAATCAAATATAAGGTAGAATGACTTCTCCATACTTCAATGTGTGAAAATTTCTTCCATCACGTTGTTACTACTGTTTGCTTATGTTGCAGCTTTCCTGGTCAAATTACGGGAAGTCTGTATTTTTTGTCATGTGAAGTCACCAAAGACTGTGCTTGGTTAGCTTGGTAGTCAGGTAATGGTTATTTAGAGATTTCCTTGAACCAGTAAGTCTTCCTGCCTTTGCCACAGTGCTCTTTGTGTGTGCTTGGGCACACCTTCAATGCACAGACTGGCGGTTTAAAACTCTGCCCTAACCTTCACTTCCTGTTGCATAGAGACTTATGATCAGCCAAAAGTGAGAGAAAAGGGCCTTCTCAGGCCCTTTTCTCTCCTGTGCATTCACACTGCCCTGCACATGCCTGTGTCCTAGGTTTCCCAGAATATGTCTGGGATTTTCAAAGCCCCCTATGGACATCTAATTCCCCAGCTTTTCCCTTCAAGTGTTTTTGTCAGGCTATTGTTAGCCTCAACTGATATCACCATCTCAGGAAAGAGTAACGTTAAACAACTGCTGCTTATTTATTTATTTACCAATGTCTTAGTGTTGGTGCTGTTTCCACAGTGAGCTGTGAATTAGGGCAAACAAAGACAAGCCCTGAAAATGGATCTTCACCAAGGAGTTTTCAATTAAGTCAAAGAGTGACATTTATTATGCTTTTTGGGGGACTCTAACCTGTCCTGCCTCCTATAGTGGTTGTAGGTTGTATCTATTTTCATAGATACCATGGTTGTGAGGTTGTTGTTTATCATGGCTACAGTAGAGCTGGGGAGATGGGGATGGGAATAGGGAGAGATGAAAGCCACGAAGCTTGTAGTCTTACTGAGATTCAGCTGTTTTTCTTGCATAAATGTGTAAATAGCCAAAGAACGATTGCGAGCATTTGGTTAATATCCAAAATTCTGAAAATGTTGATTTTCGTGATTTTTGTCAGTGTTCTCATTGCTTTATAAAGGAGCGGATTTTTGGAGGTCCTTATTCTGACATTCCAGAAGTGTTTCTCTTGTATTTTGTTAACAGTATACGTTTTGATGTGATTGATTCACTACCATTCGAAACTCTCCCAGTCATGGTGAGAACTACCTGATATACAAGCACTGCTGGGAATGCTTTGCTGGGAATGTTTTGCTATCATTACCTGATGCTCAGTTTCTCCTCATGTGTCTTTTCTTGAAGGTAGCTACAAATGGAGAATGAATGAAAGAAGCTTTGCGAGGATATGAGAGAATGAATGCTAACTCAGTTAACCAGAAACTCCCAAGGATAAAACTGATCAGCTCCTTGGATCCAAAAAATTAAAAAGATTCAGTTGTTCTCACTTTTGGGTAGATACAGTTTTCCTTCAAAGAGCATTTGAAGTAAAATACTATGTAACTTTAGGAAAGCTGTTAAGAGAGTAAATTCTAATAAGTCTCATCACAGGAGAAAATTTTTTTTTCTTTTTTCTTTCTTTTCTTTTTATTGTACCTACATGAGAAGATGGATATTAGCTAAGCCTCTTGTGGTAATCATTTCATAATATATGTAAATCAAACCATCATGCTGGATGCCTCAAACTTAAAAGTGTTGTTTGTCAATTATTTTTCAATAAAACTGGAAAAAAGTAAAATGAATTACAATGGTCTGAATTTAGTTGTCCTATAGAATTAATTTAGACACTTAATTATATCGCCTATAATTAATTTAGACACTTAACTGTATCACCTCCTTTTGCTCCTAGCTTATAAATAGGAAGTGTCTCATATAATAAAACCTTGATTCCTAGTCTGATATAAAGCATCCACTATCTCCGGCTTCCCTGGTGGTACAGTGGTTAAGAATCCACCTGCCAATGCAGGGGACACGGGTTCGAGCCCTGGTCTGGGAAGATCCCACATGTCGCAGAGCAACTAGAGCCCGTGCTCTGCAACAAGAGAAGCCACTGCAATGAGAAGCCCGCGCACCACAACGAAGAGGAGCCCCCATGCACTGAAACTAGAGAAAGCCCGCACGCAGCAACAAAGACCCAACTCAGCCAAAAATAAATTTAAAAAAAAGCATCCACTATCTCCAAACTTTACAGCAAAACTGGCTATATTAAATCACAGTAAATACTGCCCAGTAATCTTCTTTCTATTGAAACATTGCTAAATTATTACTACCCCAGTTAATATAATTAATTCCCTTAAGTACTGTCGGGGCTTTAAAAAATATTTGTTTAGTTGTATTATACAAGTTAGCCTCAGACCTAAAGAAAATCTTAGTGTCACACTATTTTAATATTTAAATATAGAACTATTGAATGTTTTAAAACAAGGAAAAGGCAAAAGCAATCACTTTGCCCTCACCCTGACACACATGATCTTGCAATGATTGCTATTTTTTGAAAAAAGGTCTTTAGTTGGAAAATCAAGATGACCGCCTGATTATATACGCAAAATCAGAGTCAGAAAGGAGCTTATGACAAGGGAGATGGTTATTTAGGTCATCCAGTCTTAGAGTATGCTCTGTCCTCCATCCCACCTTCTGAAATAACCTGGGCTGACTCATAAAGGAGGTGGCCATGGAATTATAAGCTTGAGGGTCAGTGCCTAACTAAATTTGCTAAAGAAAGGACAGAATGCTATTTGACATGAACATATTTTTTTATATTTCTAAAACTGTGATGTTTCAACTGTGTTGACTGAAAAACTATTATGCCGATATTTTCAGTTCTAAAAAAATTTTAAATATGTAAATATTTTAGGAAAAGGTTTTCTTGCAGAATAATATACAAGATGCATATTTCCAGTATAAATCCAAATTTTATATTGTCAAAAGTTCAGCAATAACATAAGTAATTAGTAAAAGTTTATTGTGCACACACCAAAAAGACATTTTGCAACCAGGGAGCACTCAAACCAAAATGTGGAATGAGGCTCAAGGGTATAGTGTTAAAAAGGATCTTATATAGTGAGAAAGCAGTAACTGTTTATTCTTTACAGTTATTGGATACATTACTAGAATTTTCAGTCGTTACCTCTTACCAACCTTGGCAAACAGTTCAAATTTTGCTGATGATTTCCAGAGGTATAAGCAAAATATGACCCAGATCAAGACAGTCTTGCAAAATAAGCTAAATTAAGCTCAGTTGTATGACTAAACTAGTTTTGTCTGCCCAGCAAATTTTCAAGGCTTGTCTCCATTTGTTTTTGATTTTAACAATATCTTAGAAATTATTTAAAGCTATCTTCACATATCTTTTAAAAATTCAATGTTCATTTGTAGAGTAGAATACTCTATCAATGAGTTTCACAATTCACAGGACATATGCTAAAATATAATGTGCCAAAGTAAGGCATTAATTCCCATATCTTTTTCATGTGATATGTTGATGATCTTCCACCGGAGAGCACATGAGATCACAACATGTGAAGAAGAACAAAAAGTCTTCTAGAGAAAGATATGTAGAAATCTCATGTTGCTAACCAACTAATTATCTGAAAGGGTACCAAAGGGTATTTGGTACCCTTTCAGATAATTAGTTGGTTAGAAATATTTATCATATGAAAGATATACTTTCTTATCATATATTCTATTTTTCTATCTAATTTATATTAATAAAACAATGTTAAAAAACCCTGCATATAGTTTCACAAATATTATCTGATTTACTCTATGAAATGTCAACATTACATCTTTTCTACCTAAAACCAACTTAAAGTTGTTCTTTAGAACATAAATCGCATGTTTTCTCTTGAAATAACATTTTCCATCTTCTAAACTTAAAATTCATTTTGTAACTTACAAGAGTGATTATAGATTGTTATGGATCTTACAGCTATGTGTTTGTTTGTCCTAGCATAGTTGAATTATATTCTATGTTTTAGAAAAAGTTAATAAGAGCTGATGAAAGTTAAAAGTAGTAGGTGAGGGGCTTCCCTGGTGGCGCAGTGGTTGGGAGTCCGCCTGCCGATGCAGGGGACACGGGTTTGTGCCCCGGTCTGGGAAGATCCCACATGCCATGAAGTGGCTGGGCCCGTGAGCCGTGGCCGCTGAGCCTGCGCGTCCGGAGCCTGTGCTCCGCAACGGGAGAGACCACAGCAGTGAGAGGCCCACGTACCGCAAAAAAAAAAAAAAAAAAAAAAAAAGTAGTAGGTGAAATTCTTAAGAGAGCACATCTTCGAGATTCTGATTGTTGTCACTTGAGTAAAGGGTTTCCAGTCAAATTCGATTGGGACATGCTAGGCTAAATGTTAAAATGCCCCTTTACCACATGACTGCTCAGACCCTGCAATGTGTACATTGTTAATTACCAAGAAGACACATACAGGAGTAAGCAGGGTTTCTGAAACAGCTTTGACTACAGAATTTTAATTTAAATTTTTGGTGGTGCACCTCACAGAGGATCCATAAGAAATACTTTTGGAAATGCTGTGGAAAATGTTGATGTCACCAACTTTATTATAGAATACATTTGAGGTTTCATTGAAATATTGGGCAAGTGAAGTGATATTACCAGAGTTTCAACTCTCCATTAATACAGTCATTATCTTTGTAGATTACCTTGGAATGAAGGTTATTTAATCAATTTTGCAAAATATAACATTCTCAGTTAATAAATGAAAGATACTAATTTCAAATTTTAAATTCTAAACAAAATCTCCAGTAACACAGATCAACGGAGCAGAATAGAGAGTCTAGAAATAGGCCCATGCAGATACACCTAATTGATTTTTGACAGATTTGCAAAGGCATTTCAATGGGTTTCACCAAAATAAAAACTTCTGCTCTGGGAAAAATCCTGCTAAGAAAGTGCAAAGACAAGTCACAAACTGGGACAAAATATTTGCTATCATATATCTAATAAAATATTTGAATCTAGAATATATAAAGAGCTTTCAAAACTCAACAATACGAAAACAAACAACCCAATTATGAAAATAAGCAAAAGATTTGAATAGACACTTCATTATTGAAGACACAAGGATAGTAAATAAGCATGTGAAAAGACTCTTAACACTATTAGTGAGTAGGGAAATACAAATTGAAACCACAATGAAATACTGTAAACATCTATTAGAATGGTTAAAATAATAAACAAAGGGACAGCACCAAATACAACAATAAAATTGATAAAACCTGACACTTGCCAGGATGCAGTGCAATTAGAACTCTCATACAATGCTAGGAATGTAAAATAGTATAAGCACTTTGCAAAATAGGTTGAGAGTTTCTTACACAGTTTAACATTCACTTACCATATAACCCAGCAATTCTACTCCTAGATATTAACCCAGGAGAATTAAAACATGTTCACACAAAAATTTGTTTATGAATGCTTATAGCAGCTCTATTCATAATCATCAAAAATTGGAAAGAACCCAAATGTCCTTCATTGGGTGAATGGGTAATCTGTGGTGCATCTGTACAATGGAATAAAAGGAATAAAAACTAACAATATTGGTACACGCAACAACTTGGATGCATCTGAAATATATTATGCTACCTGAAAAGAGCCAGATACAAAGGCTACGTGATTCGGTTATATGATATTCTGAAAAAGGTGAAACTATAAGGATGGAGTGGATACCAGGGCTTAAGGATCAGGAGTCTAAATTGTGGCTGTTGTTACAAGACTTGAGGCATTTGTCAAAATTCATATAACCATTCTTTAAAAGGAGTGAATGTTACTGTATGTAAATTTAACAATAATTTTAAAACCTCACCAACAATAAAAGGATGGAGTGGGGGGAGGGAATTTAACAACCTGTACAGAAAACTACTTGGCACAAAGGACAAAGGGTCAAATCTTCCATCTTTAAGTAGGGTGCCCATATAAGTTGTCACCCCAAATGGACACTTATGAATGAAGGGGAGACCTACGATTATTTAGAATGGGACACCAAAATAGGAATATTCTAGACACAGTGGGATGTATGGTCACATTAATATAAGGGAAATTAGAAAAACATACAAAAGAAACCATTCACAGCAATATAAATCAATGTTACTTATGCGGCAACATTCAAGAATGGTTGTGATAATGTACACTGATTTGGAAAGCAACATGCAGGAAAGATTTTGGAGTCTGGAGTCATGTAGAGCGCAATTTGAATTATGGAAACTTCTTCAATGTTTTAACATAACAAACATGTTGAAAGTGTATCATCTTTGCTCATTTCCCTACATTGATTAATATAGCCCTTACAAACAGATTGGGTTTGGGCAACATCAAGGAAGAGGTAGATACAGCTGGGGAAACCCTGCATCCAAAGCCAGTTTTGATAGAAGAAGCCCCAGGAAAGAGTGTGGAGCAGCAACAATTGGCAAAGAAAGTGGATGGCCAACAGCTTGGATTGGCATCAAGTCAGTGGTGCAAAGAGCAAGCCCAGGACAGGAAAGTGAGCCAGTTACTTACTGATGGGAGACCTCTTGTTTTTCTGAAGCTGTAAAATGAGACATGTTGAGGTAAAGAATTAGTCAAAGGGACATCTAATATGAAATAGGAGTGAAATCAGAAAGAGCAGAAATTTCAGTGGATTCAGTCATTCAGTAAATATTTATTGAGGAACTGCTGTGTGTAAGGCACCACTCTAGGTATTGAGGACACAGCAGTGAACAAAACAAAG